GTGGCCGGAGCGGCCACTGCACTCCAGTCTGGGTGGCAGAGTGAGACTCCAACTCAAAAAAATAAAAAATAAAAATGAGTTATTACTCTTTTTTTGTTGTTTTTAGTTGGAGGCTCACTCCGTCGCCCAGGCTGGAGGGCAATGGCACGCTCCTGGCCACCGCAGCCTCAACCTGCTGGGCTCTGGCGATCCTTCCGCCTTAGCGCTTCCAAGTAGCCAGAACTACAGGCACGCCCTAAACCACGCCCGGTTAATTTTTGATTTTATGTAGAGATGAGGTCTCGCTAAGTTGCCCAGGCGGGTCTTGAACCTGTGGGCTCAGGCAATCCACTCACCTCAGCCTCCCAAAACGCTGAGATTACATACTGAGCCATATATCATATATATGGTTAGGAAAAAAACATAGGTTATGTAGAGTTTAGTACTATTCATAGTTTCAGGCATCCACTGGGGATCTTAGAACCTATCCCTCTCAGATAAAAGATGACTACTGTACTTTAAAGCTCAATTAATCATCTCAACAGTCCACTGACTCAGGTCAGAAGGCTTTTATCTTGCTTTTGAGATTAAGCAACTAAAGTTAAGAGATTTGCACAAGGCCACTGCTAACAATAGTTAACAAGCACTGAGTGTTTACTTTGTACTAGGTACTAAGTTGAGAGACTCAACTGTAGGCACTGTGCCAAGGCTTTTAATATCTTATTTGATCATTATAACAATCCTTTAAAATAGGTAGACTTATTATTCTATTTTAAGAATGGGGAAACTAGCCGAGCTTGGTGGCTCAGCCTGTAATCCCGTGCTTTGGGAGGCTGAGGTGGGTGGATTGTCTGAGCCCGCGGGCTCGAGACTCACCTGGGCAACTTGGTGGGACCTCATCTCTACAATAAATTTTTTTAAAAAAATCAGCCGGGCATGGTAGCGCATGCCTGCAATTCCGGCTACTCAGAAGGCTGAGGCAGAAGGATCGCCGGAGCCCAGCAGGTCGAGGCTGTGGTGGTCGGGAGCAGCCACTGCACTCCAGTCTGGGCAACCGAGTGAGACTCCAACTCAAAAAAAATAAAAATAAAAATAAAAACGAATGGGGAAACTGAGACCTCGAGAGGTTAACTACCTTCCCCAGTGGTATTTTTTCCTATCACTTGATCCTGAGATTCCTATATAATCTTCAAAGTTACACACTTCCCAAAAAATTTGAACCAGCACTTCACCAAAGAAGAGGCACCCATGGCCAACAAGCATATGAGACGATGTTCAGCATAAGTCAGGCATAGTGACGTATGCCTGCAGTCCCAGTTACTTGGGAGCCTGAGGCAGAAGGATCACTTGAATGCAGGAGTTCAAGGCTATCCTGGGCAATATACTGAATGCCCATTTCTAAAATGATAGTAATAATAATAATATTTTTTAAAAAGATGTCCAGTTTCATTAGCCTTCAGGAAAATGCACATTTAAACCACTTAGATACCACTTAGATATCATTTTAGAGATGGGCATTCAGTATATTGCCCAGGATAGCCTTGAACTCCTGCATTCAAGTGATCCTTCTGCCTCAGCCTCCCAAGTAACTGGGACTGCAGGCATACGTCACTTAGATACCACTAAGCACATGTTAAAAAGGAACAAACACAAACACACACACACACACACACACACACACACACACACACACAGACAGACAATATCAAGCGCTGACAAGGCAGTGGGGATACAAAATGGAACAAACACTTTGGAAAATAGTTTGGCAGTTTCTTTTTCTTTCTTTCTTTTTTTTTTTTTTTGAGTTGGCATCTCACTCTGTCGCCCAGACTGGAGTCCAGTGGTCGCTCCTGGCCACCGCAGCCTTGACCTGGTGGGCTCCGGCGATCCTTCTGCCTCAGCCTTCCAAGTAGCTGGAACTACAGGTGCACGCTGCCACGCCCAACTACTTTTTTGATTTATTATAGAGATGAGGTCTCGCCAAGTTGCCCAGGCGGGTCTCGAACCCACAGGCTCAGGCAATCCACTCACCACAGCTTCCCAAGGCGCGGGATTACAGGCTGAGACACCAAGCTTGGCGGCAGTTTCTTATGAAGCTAAACATTCGATACTCTTAAGACCTAGCAGTCCCTTTCTTGGGCATTTATCTAAGAAAAAAGGAAACATATATATATATATCTCCACATAAAAGCCTGTATGAGGCAGGGCGCAGTGGCTCATGCCTATAATTCCAGCATTTTGGGAGGCAGAGGAAAAAGGATTGCCTAAGTCCACAGGTTTGAGATCAGCCTGGGCAACATGGCGAGACCTTACCTCTACAATAAATCAAAAAATTAGCCAGGTGTGGTGGCACATACGTGTAGTTCCAGCTACTTGGAAGGCTGAGTCAGAAGAATTGCCTGAGCCCAGCAGGTGAAGGCTGCGGTAGCCAGGAGCGTGTCACTGCCCTCCAGCCTGGGTGACAGAGTGAGACTCCAGCTCCAAAAAAAAAAAAAGTTAGGTGGGCAAGATGGCCCACACCTGTAATCACAGCTACTCAAGAGGCTGAGATAGAAGGATCACTTTATCCCAGGAATTTGAGGCTGCAGTGACTATGATCACGCCACTATACTCCAGCCTGAGAGACAGAGCAAGACCCTGTCTCTAAAAAAGATGCCTCTGTAGTGTTTCCTATACTTGCTGTCTTCAATTCTTTTTCTCCTTTCAATAGATGTTACATAGTAAAACATAAGACACAAAGAAAAAAGTAAGTATGCCAGTTAATGAATTACTGCAAAGCGAATACCACCCACGTAAGGACCACCCAGATCAAGAAATAGAACATTACTAGCCTCCAAGAAGTTCCTTTCCTATACACCCCAAATCACTATCTCCACCTCCCTCTCCACCTCCAAAGTGCTGGGATTATGGGCATGAGCCACCATGCCCAGCTTCCAAGTATTTTTTGTTCTTGGATGTTACATTTTGTGATGTTGATTAGACATTGAGCTAGAGTCTTGGTGACTTGTACATGGGACTAGTAACTGAAACCCTCGTGTGTTGCTGATTGTGGTGTAAGTTGTAATCACTTGGGAGAACTGGTTGGGCAGTTATGTGTAAAGCTGAACATTTGTATATCATGTGATTTAGGATCTCCACTCCTAGATGTATGCCAACATATACTTCTGTTCATATCTGCTATGTTCTTAATAGTAAAAAACCAAAAGCAACTCAAATGTCTGTCAGTACTAGAATGTATGACTAAAACATGGTATTATCAAAAACAACATACTATGAAGCACTGAAAATGAATAAATCCATGCCACAAATAGCAATATGGATGAATCTCATGAGCATAATATTGAATAGAAGGAGCCAGACACAAAACAACTCATACTATGTTATTTCATTTGTATAAAGTTTAAAAAAACAAGGCAAGAAGATTGCCTGATCTCAAGGGTTTGAGACCAGCCTGGGCAACGTGGTGAGACCTTGTCTCTACAATAAATAAAAAAATAAGCCCAGGATGGTAGCGTGCGCCTGTAGTTTCAGCTACTTGGAAGGCTGAGGCAGAAGGCTCGCCTGAGCCCAGCAGGTCAAGGCTGTGATGGCCATGAGCGTGCCACTGCACTCCAGTCTGGGCAACACAGTGAGACTCCAATTCAAAAAAAAGAAAAAGACTCCAACCACAGCCTCCCCAACTTTAGCCAATGCAGGCTCCATCCTTTCAGTTTTTTGGGCCAAAATAAGTCTCCCTAGGCCATGCTCACGGCCACTGCAGGCTCAATCTGCTGGGCTCAGGCGATCCTTCCGTTTATGCTTGTAATCCCAGCACTTTGGGAAGTTGAGGCAAGAGGATTGCTTCAGGCCAAGATTTGAAGGCTAGCCAGGAAAATATAGCAAGATCTCAGTCTCTTAAAAAAAAAAAAAAAGGAAAGAAAGAAATTAAAAATAAAATAAGTCTCCCTTGACTTCTCTTCCTCACCCGTCTCTAATTTTTCAGAAAAATCTGTTCTATTTATATCCAGATTCTTATAACTTCTCACCAACTCCACAGGAAACACCTCACCTAAGCCACCAGCAACAATCATCAAACTCAGCACTCCCCAGTGTTTTTGGCATCAGGGACCAGCTTTGTGGAAGACAATTTTTCCACAGATGGGGTGGAGGTGGATTTGGGATGATTCGAGCAAATAACATTTATCATGTATTTTATTTCTATTATTATTGCATTGTAATATATAATGAAATAACTATACAACTTGACATTAAAAAAAAAAGAGGGTCGGGCTCTGTGGTTCACACCTATAATCCCAGCACTTTGGGAGGCCAAGGTGAGAGAATTGCCTGAGCCCATGGGTTCAAGACCAGCCCAGGCAACTTGGCGAGACCTCATCTCTACAATAAATAAATAAATTAGCTGGGCATGGTGGCGTGTGCCCATAGTTCCAGCTACTTGGAAGGCTGAGGCAGAAGGATCACCTGAGCCCAGCAGGCCTAGGCTGTGGTGGCTATGGATATGCCACTGCACTCCAGCTTGAGTGACAGAGTGATACTCTTGACTCAAAAAAAAAAAAAAAGGCGCAAATGGAAGTGGAAAGTAAAATAATAGGCACACATGAACTAAAATAAGTGTCAGATTCTAACTTAAAACTGGTCACCAGATTAGCTGTACAATTGAAGTACATCAACTCACTTGCCACTCACCGATAGGGCTTTGATATGAGTCTGCAAGTAATTGATTTATTATGGTCTCTGTGCAGCCAAACCTCACTGCTAATGTCAATCTGTTTTTGCAGTCACTCCCTAGCACCAGCATCATCGCCACAGCTCCATCTCAGATCATCAGACTTTAGATTCTCATAAGGAGCACAGAACATATATCTCTCGCATCCACAATTCACAAGAGGGTTCGCACTTCAATTAGAATCTAATGCAGTGGCTGGTCTGATAGAAGGCAGAGTTTCACTCACCCACTGCTCACCTGCTGTGCAGCCAAGTTCCTAACAGGCCAGGAAACAGTACCACACAGTAGCCCAAGGGTTGGTGACCCTGATCTAAATGACTACAATAACCTCAAACTTGTCTCCTTGCTTCTATATTTATACCCCTACAATTATTCTCCACAGAGCAGCCATGTCATATCACGTCACTTCTCTGCTCAAAACCCTGCTTCACTCTAAGTAAAAGTCAGAATCTTTACAATGGCTTAAAAGGTCGCTTCATTTTCTACCCTGCCTTAATTAACCTCAATATACTCCTTCCTTTATCAATACCATATGCCTCCAGCTACATAGAACTTACTGCTATTCTTTGAACAAAACAGGCCCTGTCTGGCTTTAAGGCCTTTGGCTTTTCCCTCCACCTGAAATGCTCCTCCTAGACATTCATTTGCTAGGCCCCCCCAACTTCTTCAAATCTTTGCTAGTCTCATCCTCTCAATGAGACTTACCACAACCATCCGATTTAATACTGCACTCAGTCCACCTCTCCACTTCTTTGCCTTGCACTCCTCTTTGCATCTTCCCATTGTAATAATAACTTTCTAACACACTGTATAGTTTACTTTTTCACTTTGTTTACTGTCTTTATCCCTACAACTCCCCAGCCAATGTAAACTTGGAAGGGCATGGATCTTTTTTGTTCTCTGATTTATACCAAGCAAGGAGGAGGCACATAGCTGGCACTCAAACATCTTCCATTTGAATGAGTGAATGAATGAATGTCATTTTCATCAGCAGAAAAACAAAAATAATTAAATTCTTAATATTGCTACAGACTACAGACATTATCTTTCAGGCCAGCTTGGCAGCTCACGCCTATAATCCTAGCACTTTGGGAGGCTGAAGTGAGAGGATTGCTTGAGCCCAAGGGTTTGAGACCAGCCTGGGCAACTTGGTGAGACCTCATCTCTACAATAAACCAAGAAAAATTAGCTGGATGTGGTGGCGCATGCCTGTGGTTCCAGCTACTTGGAAGGCTGAGGCAGAAGGATCGTCTGAGCCCAGCAGGTCCAGGTTGCAGTGGCCGTGAGTTACACTCCAGCCTGTGCCAGAGGGAGACTCCGACTCAAAAAAACCAAACAAAAAAACAAACAAACAAAAATATTATCTTTCTACAAATCCTCAAAATGTGGAATTTTAAAATTTTCCAGTCTTAAATAGTGATGACAACCAAGATAAGTAATTCAGGGAGAGTAGAAAAACCTCTTTATGGAAAGGCAGAGGAAATTCCTAAGAGACAATAGGAACCTTTTAACCCCACAGTCACACCAATAATAGGGCTTGTCATTAGTTGTGACACAGTTTACTAGAATCACTGGAAGCAGTTTTGGCTGTAGAAAGTTTTGCACAATTTTCCAGTCATCTTTAAAAAACTGGCCTTCAATATTGGTTTTCCTTTAAGCAAACAGCAAAATCCAATTCTACACTCGGTCACTCATTATCTTCATAAAAGAAAGGGGGTTCAGCAATGTTTCACTAAAACCCTGGGATCTCTGTAAGGGATCCCCCTCTTTTCCCTGCTGTCCAGCCTTGAAGAGTACGTCCCTGATTCAGCGCTTCCACCTCCCCAGCCTCTGCCCGAGAGGCAAAGGCCCCACTCCCCAGGACCTGGCTGTCACCAGTCAAGTGATTATTAGAAAGAGGCTATGGCAGGTCAAGACAAACATCCGGCCCTGGCACTGAAGCTGCGGGAGGCCGGGAATGTCATCGCGGCTGCTTGCATTCGACCTGCCCACGATCCTGCTGCCGCCGCCGCGAGCGCAGCCGGGTCCTCTCGGCGGACACCCACCTCCGGCCAGAAAGGAGCGCAGCCAGTAGAAGTCCCGGCGGGCAGTGGACCCTCCGGCCCCGGCCGCCTGCGGCATCGCGGGAGGGGAGTCGGCCGCCGCCAGGGCCGCCGCCGCCGCCATCAGGAAGGGGTCTGGACGAGAGCCTGGCTTGCCAACTTACAAATAGCCGGCCGGGACCATGGCCGGAG